CTATTGATTGGTGTTGTGTTTTCTTTTGTGCACAGGGCCTAAAGTTATTTTGTAGATCTGTAGAGCTCAGTGAAGACAAAGTGGGTTGGGAAGACATATGTAGATTTATTGCTTGAGGTGAGTATGGAACATCTGTTCCCTGGTAGCTGTGGCTGAATGCTGAGCATGGGGAGGGAACACGGCTATGGATGTGCATGCAAAATTAATTCAGGACCTCCAGAAGAGCCTGAAACTTTGGAACTGTCAGGGAACAAATGGGTGTTGGTATACTGGTGTGTGTAACATGATGTTGTGATGTCCAGCCAAGTAAACCACTGCATCTCTCTCTGTTACAGGAGCAGCTAGCTAACTAGATGTAAGGGAAGTGTTTAAGAGAAACAATGAATTTAGAGACTTCTGCAAGTAGTGGATTCAAAAACTTCTCCTAGGAATATGTTAGATTTTCATTAATTTCTGGATCGTCTAAGGAAGCATAAGAATTCCATAGGGAAACTGAACCCAAACTAATAAACCCTTTCTTGAAAAGAATCGTGTCATATTTGTTCCTTGAAGAAGTTGCCAAGCAACCTTACCTTTTAAATCCTTTAAGGGATCTAACAGGAAAAAATATTGACAAACCCGGCTAGGCAGTGTTTCCGAGCTGGCGCTGATGCTCTCGGGTTCCGGGGAGCCACGGGAAGGCTCCAGTCCAGACTGTCCGGTCAGGCTGGGGCCATTGAGCTCTGGCTCAGCCCTGGTGGCTGTGAAGGCAATCAGCAATGTCAAAGGCCTCCCAGGCCTGGGCCAGGCTGGGCCGCAGCATTGCCCCCAGCCCTCCAGGAGCCTACGGGCTCTACCAAGCCCAAAAGGACACTGCCCCCAGCCCCGGGGGCTTGGCCTGACAGCTGAGCCCAGAGCAGCAGAGCTGTCACACTCCCCGCTGGTTCTGGTCGCCCTCAGGCGCGAGCAACGCCCGTGGGTGCCCTGGACAGCACAGGAGCAGCACAGGGGCACTTGCCAGGGCCTGGAGAAGCACAGGGGTCAGCTTCAGCACGGTGACACAGCAGGCATGCTGCAGGGGACAGACACAATGGCAGCCGGCGTCAGCAGCTCTGTGGGGCTCTCAGCCCGCAGCATCGACTCCAAGAGCTGCTCTGTCCCTGCCTGCGTGCCTGCCTGATGGGCAGGGCTGGAGGCCTTGGAGAACAGCGGCCATTGCGGGCACGGGGCTCCCAACAGCTGCCCCCTGGCCCAGCTGGGCCCCACTTGAGGAGGAAGGAGGTTCCCTGCCCTGGCCTGGCTGAGCAGCTCCTGCCTCCTTTGGCCTCTGCTCTGGGCCCCACGCTGGCCACCCCGACAGCCCCTGGGCCAGGCTGTGAGAGGGGCTGCTTTGCCCTCACCTTGCTCTCTGCCATCAGAGCCCTCCTGCTCCCTGTTGCACTTGGCGGCTTACAGTCTCCAGGGATGAGCTGGAGGTCAATGGCCCCAACCTAACCAGCCAGTCAGGACTGGAGTCTTCTTGGGGCCTCTCAGAAACTGAGGCCATCATCACCAGCTCCAGCAGCCCAGTGACATCTGGTCTGGCTCTCCATCTCCAGGGACCAGCAGCCACAGCAGCCCCCAGTGTGCAGCCTCATCCTTGGCAGACAGTGGCAGCCCAAGCACACCAAGAGCAAGACACAGCAGCTCCATGGACCTTGAGGATAGGGTCCATTCCAGGTGTGCTGGGCCTGACCGCAGGCGAAGCCGCTCTCGCCATCAGGTCAGGCCTCAGATGGATCCGTCCGGTCGCGGAGTCACCGTGACAGAAGCAGCAGGAGAACATCAAGTGCAGAGGGGCCCAGGCACAGGGATGCACCATTGCTGGATGACACATCCTGGTCATCGCCCGATGTCTTATCCATCCACCAACATATCTCAATGCATCTTAATGTTCCGCCAGCCACATTGGGCATCGAGTCCAGCATTCCACTGCCCTCCAAAGTAGAGGCCAGACTCCCACAAAGAAAGGCCAGCCATGCAGCCGGCTGTGGGACAAAGTCTGGCTCCCAGCAGCTCCGTGGAGCCTCTGGCACAGGAGCCTCTTCCACCAGCTGGCTCTGTGGGCTGAGAGCCAACAGCAGCCCCATCCTGCGCCCTGCCCACAGCCCTGCGGCTGCCTGGGGAGGCCCCAAGGCTGCCGCTGATGGGGCTGCCTGGCTCATTCCAGCACTGCTGCGTCTGCGGCCAGAGCGGGGCCACCATCCGCACGGGTATAAGGCCAAAGAGTCGGGTGCCCCTGGGCTGGGGGCAGTGCCCAGGCTATGCTTGGCAGAGCCTGTCTGCTCTTTGGGGGCTGGTGGCACTGCTCTGGCATGGCCGAGGCCTGGGGAGCCCTTGGCCGTCCCGCTTGGCCTTAGAGCCTGCACTTGTGAGCCTGAGTTCAATGGCCCAAGCCATGACCCAAGCCCACTCAGGGCTGGAGCCTTCCTGTGGTTACACAGAATCTGAGGCCATCAGAATCTGCCTCTGCACGCTCCACCTCCAGGGGCCAGCAACCACAGGAGCCCCCAACATGAAGCATACCAACAGTCTCTGCCATCTTGGTCTCTGGAGAGCAGCAGCTGCAGCACACAGAGTGAGGCAATAGCAGGGTCAACATACAGCAGCTCCCCAGACCATGGGCACCATGAGCAGCGCCTGTTGTAGTTATAGTAGTTGTAGTAGTAGCAGTATCAGTAGTAGTACTTAGCGGCCTCAGCACAGTTATAGACATGCTGGGCCTGACCACTGGGGAAACAGCTCCTTCCAGCAAAGGAATAACCTACCAAATGTAACTGACATTAAAAAGGGCCACCTTCATAATTTTGTAAGTATGTTAATCTCTTTACCAAGCAGTCATCTATTCCATTGTGCAGTTCTGATAATTTCGGCAGAAGAAGCGCAGCACTCAACATGAATGATCAGCAAGTCTCATTTATTGGTAACTCTAAAACCACTTATATAGCATCACTAATTAGGCTCATACATAGTGCCAAAGCAAGCTCGTTATTGGATATTTTCATTTAAGGTCATCTCCTAACCGAACTCTACTGTCTAATTCTTTCCCAGCTAACTGCTGCATGGGAACATGACCTTTGCTAGCTAGCCATTCCTCTATAATTCTCCTGTTTTCTTTTTGTACTAACAAAACTGTAGAAGTAGCCTTCTTTACCATGTTTTGCAAGCATTGCAGTATGCAAGGAATAAACAGTAACACAATCACAATGATCAATATAACAATTGCCATTTGTGCCAAATTTTTTAACCATCCTGTGAGACCTAGGGATTGAAGCCATTCCTCTAATGGATTTGTTTCCATGGTTAATTTTTTCGTATTGTTCTGTAGTTGTTGAAGACGAGCATGAATAGACACTGAATGGTCAGAAAGATTCATGCAACACATTCTATCAAAGTCTTCACAGCCATGGCCCTGTGCAAAAAGTCAATAGCAGCTCTATTCTGCAATACAGTATGCCTAACACTCTTCATATCCAAAAGAAAATCAGACAAACCTTTGATGTAATGTTAAACTGTTTTCCTGTCCAACATGCCAGTTGTCGTAACTGTGTTAAGGCTTGAGCACTAGATACTCCAGGTGTAAAAACAGATGACACAATTCACTGTAGGACGTTCCCAAAGTTCAACCTGATCTTTGCATTCTGGTCCCAATTGGAACACACTTCTTTTTGTTCGTAACCTGGTTCTATTGGCTCCTAATAGTTGCTGTATTGTGGGTGCAAACAGTGTCAATTTCCCAAAATAACAAGGCCCTCCATAAGTGTTTGCTGGCAGTCCTTGCCATGCACGATCTCCACAAATTAGAAAAATACCAGGTGGTAATTATAGAGGTGTACTGCTAGAATTTACTTTGTGAGACCAATTGCAACAGTATGCATCATTATTTTGCAAATATAGCAAATTTTGTGGAGAAACATTGGTACCATTTGGCCCATGAGACCTTTTTGCATGATTGTTCCTAGCCCAATTGACAAAAGTTAAACAATAATTGCTAGGGGCTGAGCCTAACAGTCTTAACTCTCGTGGCTCTGACCCAGTAACATTTAAACCTGTAGCAGTGTACCAATTTTGAGTACCAATGGGATTTGCTGGAATTAAACCTATGTCACAGATATTGATCCTGAATTTACCTGATGGAATTTCACATAATGTTTTGTTTGCTTCCTTGGGTGTTTTCCAATTCTTTGTCCAGTTTTTAAACATCGTGGCATTGAGTGAATCATCTAAAGGTGCGCCCACTAAACAAGTTCTAAAAGGATCTGAAGGAGTAGCCATTGGAAGGCAAAAATTATCCTGTCCAGTTTGATTAACCCACATTACCCACATATTTTCTCTTTCATCCACGTCAATCAAACACCCTTCATTTCTTTTTATCATGGTAAACCACCACAACAACCTGATCAGAGATAGCCCTTTAAGGACTTTAAAAGGATTGCGGCAGTTTGGCCAGCATCTTGGCTGGATCCCATGTGAGATCTTGCTTCCCTTTTCTTTTACCCCTCTCCCTCACCCGTCGATTCGGTTGCATCGAACCATGGGGTGTTCCATCTTCTCGGCAGCAGGGATAACTTTCAAGGAAAGACCCTTTTTCTCGAGACTGCCGTTTTAAGAATTGCTCCCAATTTTTATTTTTTACCCCTGGAATATCACACCTGACTTTTGTCAGTGTTTTGCGACAACGTATTGCAATTATTTCAATAATATATGGTAAAGGGGTATTAGGATGATAACAATAATTTTCCGGATTTATCCCAAAAGCATAAATCTCCCACCATCAATCAGATCCTTTTTCAAATTGTCCTGTTTGCACACCTTCCTGTAATGCAATCTCAGTCAAATTTCTTTCAAACTTGTAACACTCTGTACAAATCCCTCTTGGCGATCGACCCCACTTAGAATGTGTCTACCACTTTTCTTTACACACTTTACAAATGGAACATACAAAAGGATAACATTCACAATTTGGTACTGTACACAAGATTTGCATGTGAGAGTTCATCAGGGTCTCATCTCTATGTTGATGGTAGAGAGCGAGAAGTATCTGCTGAATTTTCTGGATCAGCTGAAGGTAAATCACTGGGATCAGCGGGTTTAGTCCATCGGCCAGCACCCAGACAGGCCCTGTGGGGGTAGACACACAAAGATAACCATGTCCCCAATACAGTACCTTGCTGGGACCTCCCCACAGACCTGTTTTTGGATCTTTATAGCGAACCCATATTGGACTTTGAGTTTTCTCTGCTTCAGGTGCACTATGATGTACTGCTGCAGGCAAATCACTGTTTCCAAAAATACACAGAAAATTTGAAACAAATAAACAGCGTAATAATTGTTCTTGTGGATCTTTGATCTCCCTACATTTATTTGGATATTGTTTTAAGGTACCATTTGCTCGTTCTACTATTGCCTGACTTGTGGGGGAATGTGGAATCCCTGTTATGTGTTTGATTCCCCATGATTGCATCACCTGCTTAATTCTACTACTACAATAAGCAGGTCCATTGCCTGTT